AAAGTGGGGGTGTGGTGGGGGGGGTGGGGGGGATGAGGGAGGGTACACATACATACCTGGCCAAGTCCAAAAAGGAGTCCACGGGTTCTTTGTTACTGGAGACGCTCTCCAGTCCCAGACTGTTGGAGTTCAGGCCCCCAGCCCCCACACCGGGTTTGATGATGAAAGCCAGGGCCACCCCGATACTGGAGGCGATCAGAGTGGTCACCAGAAAGTAGGCGACAGCGATGCCCCCCAGTTTGCCCAGGGAGCGGGTGTCCAAGCTGGCAGCCCCGGAGATGAGGCTGCAGACCACCAGCGGCAGGATGATCATCTTCAGCATCCTCAGCAGCATCTCTCCGGGGAAGGCGAAGTAAGTCATCTGCGCCTTGGTCAGGTCCATGTTCCGGACCAGCATGCCCAGCCCGACGCCCACCAGCACGCCGGACACGGTCATGATGACCAGCAGGTTCTTCTTCAGGCAGTCCAGCGCCTTCTCCATGCACCTGCTCCTCATCTTCTCCTGCGCGCTCTTCTCCTCCTCCACCATGTGCTCCGTGGACGCCGTGGAGGCTGTGGAGTTGGTCACGGTGTGTCCGTTGATCTCACTGGTTTTCTCCATGTCTGAGTGTTGGGAGCAGCGTGGAGGTGTGTGTGGGTGTGTGTGGAGTGAAGAGGCTGAGACCGGCTTCACCGTGGAGATGAAACTGCTGCTGCTGCTGCTGCTGCTGCTCCGTGAAGCCGCTGACGTTTGTCGCACACGCGCTGTGGCTCTGCGCCCTCAGAGGCCGGTGCAGCGGAGGCTGGAGGCAGCAGCCAATAGGAACACAGGGACGACACACACGACTGTAGTGGTACATGCGCACATTTCCAATCTTTATAGTGGGGGCAAATGATGCAAGAGCATGTGGGATTGCCCCAGTCTGGGCTGGCAATGTGGCATCGGGGGTGGAGGCTGAGCTGCAGGGGGAAGAAAACGGACATTAAGTACAATGTAACCGCGGCCGCGTGATTATTCACAAATGTTTTACATAAATCAGTTACGTATCTGCAGCAGGCAGTGATTTTTTTGTTGTTGTCTAGTTTTAAAATAACGCAACAAAACTGCCTTGTTTCTTGTTGGACAACAAATAAATAACAGTGATGTTTGTTAATGTTCAACTGGATGTCGTGTATTAGTGTCCGGTATTATAAAATCAATATAAAAAATAATAATAAAAGTTCAACAAAGATAAGCTAATTTGATTAACATTAAAAATATATGTATACATTACACACATAGTTGAAATCGAATTCTAAATAACGGCCGGATGGGAGTTACAGATTAGCCCGGCTAACGTGTCAAATAAACTGAACCGGAAAAACCAAACGACAGAGCCGAGATTATTCACAAACATCACCCAGAAAGTGGTCGAAGTTGAGAAAATAAGGATAGAATATTAGCCCAAAAATAGTTAAATAAATAAAAGGGTCGAAATACCTTATATATTTAAATATATTTATCGTTATCTCATAAATAAAAAATGGACGCGATCATTTTAATGGCGGGCCAAATAATTCGTGGTTCAATAAAAACTATCCAAGTGAGAAAAATAACTATTGTTTCTAGGGCTGGACATTATAAATGTCTGTGAAAAACATATTTTCTGTAATATATATAAATATTTTGTTTTTTATTTTATGTAAATAAAACTGTGACGTTCAACCGAGTCTTTCTCACTGCTGCTGGATGTCTGATGACAAAATGATCCATTTTGGTTCTACTTTGTGGAAACTTTCGCCTCTCAAATGAAGCAGCCTGATGACTGATTATCTTCACTCTCACTGCACCTGTGCAAACACTCGACTGTGTCCGAGTAGAATAATGACCTGACGTGACTTCTCCCAACTTAGAATAAGTGGAAGGAACCCAGTAAAAATACACTTGAAAAAAATAAAATAAAATAAATAAAACTACTGTAAAGTAACGTAGATTACTACTTATTATCGAACCATTCTCCGCTAAGATGATTAGAACAATATAGATTACTACTTATTATCATTCTCCGCTAAGATGATTAGAACAATCTCACAGGTCCATTCCAGTCGAATTTAAGGAGCTTCTAATGAATAATTAAACGTTTGTGGTGCTCACCTGTCAGTGTCAGGTGACGGAATCCATACAAGTCTGTGTTGTTGGCATGAGGAAAAAACATTCGGTTATTCATTTACTTTTTACATTTATCGTAAAGGAAATAACGGAAATTCAGCGTTCCCTGAGCAGAGCACGTCCTCTGCTGGCCACTTTGTAGTATAATTTAACCTTACTTAATTAAAAAAATTAAGATTTTCGGTAGACTCTCAATAATAATAATAATAATGACAAAGAGGAAGCGTGGTAGTCGGCAGTAGCTGTAGTACTAGTGGCAGACTTTCTGACACGAGAGTTTATTTCGGTCACAAACACGCAAAAGTCTCCTTTGCACAGCCACACTTTAAACGCCAGATGGCGCCTTCATCAAATACAATAAGTGCGGTTGGTGCAGCAACTTGAGAACAGCCGTTACAACATATGCAGCAGAGTTTTTTTTTATTGGTTGAATCTCGTGGGGAAATCGTGTCGGTTTATTAAACTATGTTTGTTAAATTAGTTTGAGATTTACTGACATTTAAATGTGTGGATTTTACCAGACCACATGGAGGATCCTAAAATAAAAACTGAATAATCACATTAAGAAACTGCAGGAAAACAAATTAAATGAAAAAAGAATGCGTTATTGATCATTAGGGGTTTTTTTTACACCGTTAAATGATTCAAATCTTTTCAAAAAAAAAAAAAAGAGAGAGAGACGTGAGATCCAGCAGCGACTCTTCTGCCTCTGCTGCTGTCGCCTGCTCTGTCCTCACTGACCTCAGCTCTGTCGCTTCTAACTTGGGCTAAACTTTCCCTCCCTCCACCAATCGAGACAGACTGTCCCCCTTCCCCTCACAGCTGTGTGGCCTGAATGCTGGAAATAACCCCGGGCCTGGCAGAGCAGGAGCTGGGGCTGTTAAACAGTGGCAAATGTTGGCCTGCTGCCACTGTAAAACCAGAAGAGGGAGGAAAAGAGAAGGATGGGGGGAGGAGGGGGAAGGGGTTAGGAGGGAGAGGACAAACAGGAGCTCAGCGCTGCAGACAGTCAACGGAGCATGTAGGAGCATTTTAATGTGGACCAAACCTGCAGAGATGAACAGAGCGCTGACATCGTTGGTGTGGAGGAAAAACTGAGGAGGAAGCAGAGAGAGAAATAGTTCTTTAGAACTAACGTGGTTCCTGGGTGTCTTGACAACAGATGGTTTCTGCGTCTTTACCTTTAAATGTTAATAAGCTCCGCCCACCTGCTCTGCTGGGAAGATCTGAGGACACTCCATGAAGACAAGACTAAAAAGAGGAAAAAAACAAAACACAGACAACACGTGTTCTTTTTACAGTTTATTGTATATATATATTTATATTTATATATATTTATAAAACTACAAAAGTAAGACTGTTTCAAATTCACAGACAGCTGTCCATTTATCTCAGTTTTATATACACACACACATAAATATTTATATTGGGATCCAAGTGGGGGCAGTAGAGCTCATGTACGGCCCTCACCTGTCGACCAATACAGTGATCAGCTGATAATTTCTCTCTTTGTGTTCTATTGCATAGAAAAAGGCACAGCTCTGAGGTCTGTGGAAAATACAGCCTTCGTAAAAAGAGGAGGAAACGACAGTCTTTTTCGTTGTCCTTCCCCGGTGAATCCAAGCGCCTCTCGCTCACCCCGGCGCTAAAACCGACTCGGTAAGAAAACACTGATGCAAACGGGTGTCAGGAGCTCGAATGTTGTTCATACTATGTACATTACTTTTGGCATTGAAGCTTCAGGTTTGACAGGCTTTGGAGACTTGACATCTGACAAGAGTTTGTTTGTTTGTTTTGTCTTGAAATATTGCTGCATAAACTGTTCGCCTTCACCTGTAAAATGAGGAGCAAAAGTACAAAAAAAAAGATGTAAAAAGTCCGGGCTGCAACCCCACAACATACCAAGAAGATAGCAAACAAATAAACAAGATAATAAAACTAGGTATGAAAAAAAAATGGCTTCCACCCATAATTCCACACTCCTGATACATTCCTATCTGAAGGTACATTCCTAACACACATTCTGTACACGCATTTACAATCCAAAAGTTCACTTCACATCCAGAAAAATAAATATATTTACACAGAGAAGAAGAGAAACAAAAAGAAACAATATGAATAAATAACTTCATTGACAACAACAAAAAAAACAAAAACAAAACAAGCCAACTGAAATACAGTGAAAGAAACAATATGCAGTCGTCTGCAAACCGTATTAGTTGGTGCTGCTGTGTGCTCGGCTCACGCTTTGGGATCAGTGACAAACTTAACCAGGTAATAAAAATTATTTAACATCCAGGAACGCAACGTAGACAGATGACAAACAGCAGGAGTAACTTTTTGGAGTCCAGGACCGAGCCACGAAAGATCGTAAAGGCATCAGCAAATATTTGATAAAGTAAATAATTCAATCAACAGACTCATCCAATCAGAATCAGAGGCTACGTTGACCTGCTAACCTGGTTTTGGAGCTGGGAGGCTACGGCTATGACGCAGTCTGTTGTTTACCAACAGTCTGTAGATCGGTCATGTGACAAAATGAGGATGTGCAAAGTCACTGGAATGTACCGCACATTCTAAGGACTCTGAAGATACAGCGTGACTTTAAAACAATGACTGATGTTTGACTGAGTTCATCAACTGGACACTGACACATGGTTTCCTGCCCACAGTCACAGCCAGAGTTTTAAACCTGCTACAGATCTGTGAGTTCTACTTCCCAACCAAATCTAAGTTTGGTCAGAACAGGTGATTTGATAGTTGCCTGGCAACAGAAGAGGAGGAAAAAGGCAAAGTGATGCTTTTTTTTTTTTTCAACTTTTACTTTTTTAAGCTCTGATCTTAGAAAAAAAAAGGCAGTGTGGTGTCTGATCTGCTCTCTGGGTGACACAGCAGTTTCAAAGCGTTTCTTCTCAACCGTTTACTTCTAGCTCACAAACACTAGAATGGAATATTCTTCTTCCTACGGCAGAGTAACAAAGCTGATAATCTTGACATGACCTTAAAAAAGGTCAACCGGGGTCAAAATGTTAAAATTTAAAATCGTTTAAAAGCCCTAACGTAAATGTTAATATTTACTTTTACTTTATTACACCACACTGGTGTCATGGTTCAAAATAATATTTACTTTTACACCACACTGGTGTCATGGTTCAAAGTCAGACATATTTAGACTTTAGCAACATATTCAGCAACATTTTTAAAAAAATTACAAACATGATAAAAAAAATGTCCCTGACTTAACTCTAATCATGTGATCAATTGTGTTGCAGTAATAGATATAAAACAAACAATCCTTGAGTTGATCTTTAAAAAAAAAAAACATTTCCTCTCAAACCCTGAGCCTTTGCCCGAGTCAGAGACCATGAGCCAATGAGCATCTGTTTGGCAGAGGGCAGAGGAGGAAGTGGAACCACCTGCTAACTCACCAACCACCACCTGTTGGTCGGTGTTTATGGGCTGTACTCAGAGTCCTGTGAGTAAAATCTGAGCCTGGCAACACAATGTGAAAATAAAAAAAAAAAATCTGGTTTTGGTGTCAACGCGCCGTTTCGTCTACGACCTTTGAGGTCGACCACAACACAGTGGTGCGAGTCGTACAGAAAGGAAGCGGAGCTCAGAGAGTTTTGCATTTGGAGCTCATGTAAACATACACTGCCTTCACGGGGGGAGGGGGCAGGGGGGGTAATACTGTAAATGTATGCTGTGCTGTAATCTGTCTGTCACGTATGTTGTTAAATCCGGCTGATCCGTGCGGTGAACAAAGCAAATATCCAATTTTCTACCAGCAGATCTCGTCTAAGTTGCAGCGTCACCACAGAGGAATCACCAGATTTGGTTTTTTCCGTTTATGAAGATTGAACGTGTGTTTAGAGCCCGGAGACGGTTTCTGAGTCAAACACCTGCGTCTGCGCTGGCTGCTGGCTGCGCCGCCGTTTTCAAATGTAAACAAATGCAGCTTCTCCCGTGGCTGTAGCTTCATTTGAATCCTACCGCTGCTAACTGACTGAGCAAACTGTAAACCAGCGACCAGCACAGTTACAGGGGGCGACCGGGAAAAAAAACAAAAAAAACACGTCCTGGACAGAAATGAGACACAAAACGACCAGAGTAAATCCCAAAGCGCTAATTACGTTTCAGCCGCTGTAGCACAATAGTAGAACGACGCTTGCTTTACAAATAAAAACTGTAATAAGATAAAGATTAAATAACTATAATTTGATCGTGACAAATTATTTTAACACAAAATACAATAATTTAATTAAAATACACACCGAGGCGTGACCTCACTGGGCTGTTAAAGTGAAAAGGACGAAAGAAAAACAAATACTGTAAAAAAACAAACAAACAGGAATTGAATAAGTGGTCATTTTTTTCAAAGGCACTCATCTGATAAAAGCCATGGTTTCCGTGTATGTGTGTGTGTGTGTGTGTGTGTGTGTGTGTGTGTGTTATGTCCTCTTGTATTTCCATTCCTGTGAAAGTTAAAGGTCCTAACAATTATTTCCCCCCCCCAAAAAAAACAACAAACATTCCAAACCATCTTCTCTAGATTAATGTTACAGTAATTCCGTTGAGTTAAGGCGTAAAGGATGTTTCCACAGCAGGAATTAGTACCAGAAGTAACGGACAGTACCAGGAATTGTGTGAATGCACCAGGAGAAAAACTCGTGGGACTTTGGGAACCAAATGGTAATGCTGGTTGGCTGATTGTTTTTTTTTATTTTTTTTTTTTTAAACATGTCGTCAACCATCTGCGACTGTTCTAGGACTTTGACTACAGAGGATCTGATCACAGACACAAGAACCATATAGTAACTTTGAGTTAGTTCCTGGTAACTAGGTGGTTAAAATGTAGCTAGTTTTAGAATTACGGTTTGGAATGAGTGGCGGTCCTCCCAAGTATGGAAATACAGAGATGTGTGTGTGTGTGTGTGTGCGTGTGTGTTTAAACATGTGTTTGTTTCCCAGTTTCTTCACTTCCATATTTGGAAAGGCGAGCACAGTGCATGCACAGTGTTGTGTAGTAGTAGTTGTCAAAAGTAGTACTAACTGACATCACCATTGATGTTTACAATTACCGACCTTTAAAGAAGTTTTTTCCAAACGAAACAATTATAATAAAAACATCTCCCCCACAGAGGTGTTCCCCAAGGTCATCCCATTATTCCAGTCCGTGTTCAGGATTTCAGCGCCCGTGTGGTTCCGTGCCGGCGTCCGTCAGTCAGGACCCCACCAACACTTCCATGATATGGTCCAGTTCTGTCAGATCGATTTTGAAAGGCTGATTGGCTGAAACCTGTGGGGCGGAGCCACTGTACGGCGTCGTCAGCGACTTGAGAAGGTCGTCTGTCGTCACCACGGGCGGCAACTTTGCGAGACCCCCGCTCGCCGTCACCCCCACAGCCCCTGCTGTTGTGCAGGGGTCAAAGTCATACATGGATGTGTCGATGTCAGCAAACAAGACGTCGTCCAGTGCCAAGTCTGAAAGGAACCCCGAGGGCGAGGCGGGAGAAGGTGCGGCGGAGGGACAGGAGGAAATATCTAATAAGCCACCAGGGGGCAGTGCAGGAAGAGCATCTACTGGCCGGAGCTCGGCACTGCGAGTCTCTGTGAGCAAAACTCCAACTGCCTCAGGTTTAGCACCCGCGGTCCTGCAGTCTCTGGGTGGGAGGAGTGGTGCTAAGTGTCGGGTGAGTGGCGCGGGAGGTGGGGAGGTAGACGTGGTCACGATGTTAGCTGCTGCTGTCCTTGTTATGGCTGTGGGAGGACCCAACTCTATGTCACTCAGAGTGGAGGGGAAGCAGTCGCCGCTGGACGACGCAGACACAGGAACCCTGGGGGGCGAGGGTAACGTTGGGGGTGGCGCCGGGGGTGGGGAAAGCGGAGGCGTGGGTGGAGACTGAGCGCAAAACGTGGACTCTCCTCCATCCTCCTCCAGCAGGGACGCTGGAGTGAGGCAGGACTCCAGAAGGGTTGGAAAGGCCTCGGTACGGCCGGGACAGCCCGGCGATGGCTGGAAGGAGGGAGGCACCATTGGGTGAGGCGAAGGTGGTGCAGCGATGGCCGGCATCAGTAATGCAGAGGGTTGGGACACCTGCGCAGATAAAACACCAAAGGATGGCGCCTCCCGGAAGCCCTCGTCCATGGGGTCGTCGGGCGGAGGCGAGGGCGGCAGCAGGAGCGGTCGCAGGGAACCCTCCTGCTTCAGTTCGTCCTGGATGCGACGCAGCATGTTGTTGATAAGGACGCGGCGCTCCAGGCTGGGTTCGGTGAGCGGCCGTTGGCTGTACAGCTTCATCAGGGAGATGTTGAAGATGGTCTGGCGCTGCAGGGTGTAGGACACCTTGGACAGGCCCTCGGGACACAGTCCTAGTCCCCCAACCGCCACCGACGCCTCCAGCGTTTTGTCTTCCAGCCCCTCTTCATCCTCGTCCAGCTTCCGCTTCGCGCCTTTACCGAACATAAATCTGGGAAACACAAAACCACAGGAGACGTACCTAAATAAAGATTTGATAACAACAATGTTTTTAGTTTTTCTGTCTTATCTACCTAGTCTGTGGTATTTATTTCCACGTTATTTTGATCTCTTTAAACACTGTTATATCACATTTTTAAACAGTTATTTTATCTCAGCTTACCTTCAACATCTTTCTGGATTCACATCTAGATCTTTGTTAATTTTCAGTTTGTTTTTTCTTGAACAACTTCTAACTTTTCCTTCCACCTTTTAGAATCCAAATAACACGCCTGCGTCGCTCATTGTGCCTCTTGGTTTTTTATGACTAAAACCTAAACCTGGTGGATCTCAGTAACAAACCACACCTCACCAAACTCAAGAAAAACCTGCTGCACCTTCACTGATCAGGTTTCACCACGGTGATTCATGACGACTGTGGATTTACAGAGAAATACATCCACATATACTGAAACCCACAGCAGCTGCATTAGTAGTGTCGCCACCACATACTGTGGCTCGGATACACACACACACACACACACACACACACACACAC